CAAAAGCAATCTACTCAGTAGAAACCATTAGAGACAAGATTTGCCCTAAAGGGTGTGAGAACTTTAAAGAATATTCCTAATTGAAGAATTCCTCTGCCAGTTTGGATTACTGATTTATAGGCCTTGTGTTACATACTGGCACCCATACAGATGAAGCCTTCTCCCAGGTGCCACATGTCTTAGTCTGTCTAGCCCTGGTGACAGTCAGTGGGTGAGCTGTGTGTGGCTAACAGCAATGGGAGGAAGGGGAAGCACTGCAAGGCTTTTCACAACCCATAGGAACAGCTTTCTGCTCATTTCTGTTCCAGAAGGGAAATAGGACTCAGGCCTGGGTACGGCCTACAAGCCCTAGAGCAAGTTCCAGGTGTGATGATTCTGCTGAATGCTCTCTCTCTCTCCTAGTCTCTACAGAGGCACCAACCTTTCCTCTCAGCACCCTTCAACTGCACTGTTCCCAGCCGCTCTCTCAGCATCTCCATGTATGGTGCCTACCAGATCTTCTACTGAAACCACGCTGGTAGGTTTACAAACAGCACACAACAAGGGAGCCAGCCCAACATTATACAGGTACAGTCCGTCCAGTTTCTATTGCTTACACTTACCGAGAAGACAGCAAATATGCTACAAATGTTTTTACCCAATTGGTCAATGACTCAAAGCCAACAGGTTTACATTCAGTAGAAATCAAGGATTCATTTGTCTTCCCTATCAAAATAAGATTCAGTAGGCACCAGAGGTGGACAAGACTAAGACAAGAACCATGTGACCAGTTTACAATCAGATCTACTATCAGCTTGTCCCTTTACAGAAGCGAACAAAAAAAAAAATGAACTAAATCATTGCTACCCTTGTCATATGGCAAAACTACATTACTTGTTCTAAAAGCTCAGAAAAGGACAGGGTGACCCGAAGAAAAATGGCTAATATCGTGTCGTCTCGATCAAGAAAAAGAAAAGAATTGACTTGACATCCAGCAATAAAGCTGACTGAACTACAGACCAGTCACTCCTAGAGGCAGTCAGGATCTGTGATGGTCTCAAAGATCACACGCCATCCCAAAACAGGACAGTATGGGAGATCAAGGCAGTGAGGGGGGGGCAGGCTGAAAGAGCTGCTCAGAAGGCAGATGGGTGTGGACACTAGGCCTTTGGCAAAAACAGAGAGGTGAAGTGGGATAGTTCAACAGGAAAAAAATGGCCCTAAGCCAGCTGCATGATCAGGATTCTGATGGAAACAGCAAAGCACCTCCCTAGAAAAGCACCCCAGTTGAGGGCCCCCTGGAATTCCACTGGTTTAAAGTGACGAGTTTACTTACGTCAACAAGGAGGAAAAGCAAACAGCAAAGAAATCAAGCAATGTAGAAGGTCCAAAGACTGCACATATCAAAACTACTACGGAAGAAACAGCCAAGACACAGAGGACTATCAAGAATGCCCAGACAGGGACGAAAAAGAATCAACTGGAACTCACCAAAATAAAGGGCAACTGCTAACATCAAGTAAGACAGCAGAGCAGACAGAGCTGATGCCACATTGATGAAACAGAGGATACGTGTGACGAAACTGCTATGGACACATCCTTCTCCAGAGTCTAACTAACTCAGTGCGCTTCTCACCCTCACCAAGGAAACTTCTCTTTGCAGCAGATGAAGGCCATCATGGAAGACCACAACTGACCAAAAGGCAGAGTTGGAGGGCCCAATCCCAGTTTATTCATCTAGAAAACAACCCCTGCACCTAAGGCTCACGAACATTGCAGAAGAGGAGACAGAAAGCAGGAGGAACAGGAAGTGTGCTGAGATACTGTGTCTCCTAGAAATGTCAGAGAAGCTATACCTATGAAGTCTCACCAACACGGATGCCAAAAGAAGACCTGAGCCGGGACAGCATCAACAGGCATGCTAACATGGAAGGAGGAAAGCTCAGGAAGACTCAATCCGAGACAAAGAAGTTCAGGCAACTAAGGAATGATGAGAGCAGAATAGTTTTCCCCAGGAAAGAGCACACCAACTGGTTATCCAATACCAAATGATCAGACCTGAAACCATACAAGTAATTATAAGGAATGAGCAGGTTGTATTCAAATATTTAAGAATATAAAGCCAGGCAGTGGTGGTACACATCTTTACTACCAGCATTAGGGAGGCAGAGGTAGGTGGATCTCTGTGAGTCTGAAGACAGCCTGGTCTACAGAGTGAGTTCCAAGAGAGACAGGACTACACAGAAAAACCCTTTCTCCTGTTTTCAAAATACACACACATATATGTAACAACTAAAGAAAAAGAGGCCATGAATTTGAGGGTAGGGTGAGATATGGGAGGGGTTGGAGGAGACAAAAATGACAGCCTACAGAATGGGAAAAGATCTTCACCAACCCCACATCTGACAGAGGATTGGTGTCCAAAATATATAAAGAATTCAACAAACTAGACATTAAAATACCAAACAATCCAATTAAAAAATGGGCTACAGAGCTAAACAGAGAATTCTCAACAGAGGAAACTCAAATGGCTGAAAGACGTTTAAGGAAATGCTGAACATCCTTAATCATCAGGGAAATGCAAATCAAAACGACTCTGAGATACCATCTTATACCTGTCAGGATGGCTAAGATCAAAAACACTGAAGACACCTTATGCTGGACAGGATGGAGAGCAAAGGGAACACTCCTCCACTGTTGGTGGGAATGCAAACTTGTCCAGCCACTCTGGAAATCAGTATGGCGGTTTCTCAGAAAATTGGGAATAAGTCTTCCTCAAGACCCAGCTATACCACTCTTGGGCATATTCCCAAAGGAATGCTCAATCATACCACAAGAACACATGCTCAACTATGTTCATAGCAGCATTATTCATAACAGCCAGAACCTGGAAACAACCTAGATGTCCCTCAACCAAAGAATGGATAAGGAAAATGTGGCACATATACACACAATGGAGTTCTACTCAGCAGTGAAAAACAATGACATCATGAGGTTTGCAGGCAAATGGATGGAACTAGAAAAAATCATCCTGAGTGAAGTAACCCAGACTCAGGACAGACATGATATGTACTCACTCATAAGTGGATACTAGATGTAAAACAAAGGATAACCAGACTACAACCCACAGCTCCAGAGAAACTAGCTAACAAGGAGGACCCTAAGAGGGCTGCATGGATTGCCCTGGGAAGGGGGTGGGGGGCGATAGGGGATGGGGGATGAGAACATAAGGGAACAGGGTAGTTAAGCTGGAACAAGGATGGAGTGGGAGAGCAATGACAGAGATACCATGATAGAGGGAGACATCATGGGGTTAGGGAGAAAGAGGGTGCTAGGGAAGTGTGGGAGCCCGTTCTCGGGTTCCTCGTGGCTTTACCCAGCAGGTCCGCATAGAGGATAATTAGGACCACCAGCCTGAGTGCAGGTGTCTGAGATAGTCTGCACTTGGCTGTGCTGGGGGAGGAGGTCTTTTGCTCCACCCCTTGGCATCTCTATAAAAACCCTGGGGCAGAGACAGTCAGGGCCCATTGGAATAGGTTCCAGGCCCTCTCGAGGCTATCCTTTATTTTCTGTTTATCTCCGCAAGATTCTCCGCTATAAATCCTTCTATCTAATATTTCCTGCTGCTCGCACTCAAGAAAACTCTGGGAAGCTGTGGGGTTGGTGGGTAAACGCCCCACAGGGAAGTTCCCAGGAATCCACAAGGATGGCCCCAGCTTAGACTACTAGCAATAGGGGAGAGGGTGCCTGAACTGGCCTACCCCAGTAATCAGATCAGTGGGTACCCAACTGTCATCATAGAGCCTTTCTCCAGTAACTGATGAAAGCAGATGCAGAGATCCACAGCCAGGCTCCAGGAGTCCAGTTGAGGAGAAGAGAGATTCTGTGAGCAAGGGGCATCAAGATCATGATGGGGAAACCTACAGAGACAACCAAATCAAACTAGTTTAAAACCTTAATAGGTTCAAGGTTGGGGATTTAGCTCAGTGGTAGAGCACTTGCCTAGCAAGCGCAAGGCCCTGGGTTCGATCCTCAACTTAAAAAAAAAAAAGCATGTATCAAAATCTTAATAGGTTCTTACTTAGATCTTCAACCTCTACTTTTTCACATCCAAAGAAAATGCCTTGTGCAGAAGGGTCAGGGAAGCTGTCATTCAGAAGCTATATATAAAACCGTGGAAGAAGTAGCCAGCCCTACTTACTGTCCATCTCAATGTCAACAAAGTGCTTCCACTTATAAATATACATACCAGCCAATGGTATTTCTTAAATAAAAAAATAAAAAATAAATTAAAAAAAAAAAACCGCAAAGCCAACCCGATTAACGAGTTTCAGATACTTGACTCCTTCCAAACTAAACAAGACATTCTTTAGCAGTGACTACACATCCCGCCAAGTTTGAAAAAACGAGTTGCCTCACAATTTCATTTTTTAGTGGCTGCATAATACTCAAAATACACACACACACACACACACACACACACACACACACACACACACTCTATCTCTCCACTGGTGGGTGATTAGGCTGATTCTGTGACTTGGCTATTTTGAGTTGTAACAAAATAAACATGAGTTTATAGGCAAAAAAAAAAAAAAGAGTTGCCTCAACTTGGAAAAATACATCCACCTTCAAAAGTTCTTGTTGGATTAAAATATAGGAAATGGAGAGGGACTATTAGCTAAATGTTCACTTTCTGGCTTACAAGTCTGTTATACCAAAGGGGTGGGGTGAGATACAACTTTTTTTAAAATTGCAGAATCCGCCTAGATGACGTCAGTACATAGACATTTGAACTGTTTTTCAGACTGGCCCTAAGCAATGCGAGGCTTCAGAGAGAGCAGGGCATTCGTCCCAGATGGGAATCGAATCCCGCCCTGTCACTTGTGGATCTAAGCCAATTAGCAGCTCTGGCCTTGGGAAACAAACCTAGCTCCCCGCTCTCGGGGTTGTCAGCCTGGGGAGCAGGGAGCTGAAGGCCCCGGGAGACGCCGCACCCCGTGGCTCTGGACCACACTTACCAACTTGGGGCGCTTCTCCCCGAGCTCGTAGGGGCCTGCGGGCGGCGCGGGCGACAGGCCCTTCCGACGCGGGGCCTTGCTGTCCCGGCCGAGAGCGCGCGCCCGGTGCCTCTCCATCTGCCCGGGTCTCGATCGCGACCTGATCCGGCGCCGGGTTCCGCTGGCTTCACCTTCCGGGTCCCACGCCGGCAGCGCAGCGATTAACCGCTGCACCGGGGACGAGCCAACACATCCGAAATCTCCCGCCACCGCAGCCAGCCCGGTCAGCCAATCCCGCGCCGCGGAGCCAGGGACGCAAGCCCCGCCCCTTCCGGGGATGCCAAAGTCTGGGCCTGATTGGCCCTTCGGCCTGTCCATTGCGCTTCTCGCCCTCCGGCTGTGCAGGCGGCCAGCCAGAAGGTGCATAGTGAGAAGGAAGTTTGGAAGGAATGTTGAGCCAATGAGTCACTGGCAGGGCTTTGCTTGGACTTTGGGGGTAGGTTCTTGAAAACTCTAACCGCAGGGCGACTCTCCCGGTACTATTTGAGCAGCCCTGAATGTGAAAGCAACTGGTAAGCCCTGTGATTGGTATCTGAAGGTCTGGGGTGCCTGGGAGAAGTATTTCTGTGCTGTACTTGCAGGTGCCCATGCCTCTTAGAAAGGATGTTTTCTAGACTTGATTACCGTTTGCATAAAAACAGAGCTGTCACCTCATGAACGAGAGTTCATGCTGGAACCCAGAATGAATGGCCGTAGCCTGGAACTTGAACTCGGGTTGCCACAAATACCACATTCCAACGTAGGAACAGTTTCATGAAGTGTTTGATCATTGAAGCGCGGGGGGGAGGGGGGGAGAGTCATCAAGGAACTTTTCAAACACATTAGGAGATTTTTTTTTTTTTTTTTTTGGGTTACCAAAAAAAAAAAAAAAAGCATTCAGATGCTATGAGATGGCAACCTTTGGTTTGAAGTTGGTGGAAGCTAGTGAGCTTCTAAGGAAGAGCAAAAGGTATCACATGATTGTCAAGAATGTTAGATCAAACACAGTGATGAATGACAATTAAGTGAGCCAAGATTATTTGGCCCTGGATTTGCAGCATTCCAACTCTCCACAATCATGGGAATTCTCATCAGTCAATCAGCCTTGTAGAATTGTTAATGCAGGTGTGGCTTTCTCTGGAACTTTAGTTCACATTATTGATCACTTACAGCATGCCTAAGAGCCTGAATCTCACTCTGGATCAACCAAAATTAAAAGAAACACAGTTCAAACAGTTCACAGTTTAACATGGTTCACAAAAGTTGACGCAGGTAACCAATGTCAAAGTTGTAACAGCCATTCCACGAGTTTTTAAGAACAAGGGAAAATCCTAAATAAAAAGTAGAGGAAAGCAATAGTGTTAGGGTCAGAACCTGGGGTTAAGCAGCCTTATCAAGGGAGATTCGGGCACCTGTCCCCAATATGACAAGTAAAAGAAAACTCTGGAGATACATTCAGTGTGGTCACACTGGGAAGCGGAACAAATAAAAAGATCCCGGGATCCCCCAAGTCCACCTCTGGAGCACTGACATGAGGTTTGTATTTAAATAGTGGGCAAGGGGTATGCATAACTGAACAGTTCCAATCACACGCTGTGTCCCTGCACATCCTCGTCGCGATGGCTCCCGTGTGTACCACAAGTTGTCCGAACTGTGTCACGTCTCTTTCTAGGAGACAGGTTTCTGCTCTGGCTGACACCAACATTCAGTCTTTTCCTTCTCCATTATTAAAGAGCGGAGGGGCAAGGTGGTTGCAGCAGAAAGGATGCATGGATTTTCACAGGCAGAAGACAGGCGGGGCGTTCACGTAAGAGGTGGGGCAGGCAGCAAGGCCAAGAGAGGTCAAGAACACAGAGCTGAAGAAATTTACCTGGCCTGTCTTGAAGGTCCTTGAAATGAAACCATGTAGAAGAATGTGTTGCGTACACTGAAGGTCAAGTTTCGAGGCTAATGCAGTTTTCTCATACATCACTGTTTCTTCCCCTTTAAAAGTCAGCTTTGCCTTCCAACTATTTCCTTAAAGATATTGATCTCCTGACCGTACAGAGGTGATGTCAGCCAAGACAGGTGAACATGAAGTATTGATCTCGGTACAAGAAACAATTCCAGGTACTCCACAGAGATTAGCACAGGGGTTCAGAAAAAATGAGCCTAAGGTCAGAGTAAGTTTTCATCTCCAGCTTTTGGAGGTTTGGGTTTGGTTTTTGTCTTGCAGGGGGTGTTTGTTGCTCTTCTTGTTTTAATGCTAGTTTTTTTATTACGTCGCACAACCAGATTTTTGTCCTCAATGAGCATATACTACTTAAGGCAGCTTCCAAAAGAAGTTGCTAGCTCTGTGTCATGATGAACAACAAAGATGCAACTTTAATTCTTGGTATTTATTAGCTGCATGGTGTTGGAGATGATGTCTAACTTTCTTGGCTTCTCCATCAGCAAAGATTTCAAATAGGAATGCTTCAGGTTCAATGAGACAGTACACATATGGAACGCACATAGAGCCGTATATAGTGTCCTGCAGCCAAGAAGCACCAGGAGAAATACCTGTAGTTGGGACAACTTAGATTTATTACAGAGCATAAGAACATGTACTATGGTGAGCTATGGGGGGCTTAGGAAGAGGGTGTTAGCATTTGAAAGATCTGTATTTCGCTTGGGTGGTTTGGGGAAACTTCAAGGAAAAAAACTGCTAGGAGGACTGGCCTGGACTGGGTGCTGTCAGGAAACTTGACTGAACACCGTTAGGAAGACTGGCCTGAATTGGGTGATCTTGGGAAGTGGGAGCAGTTTAATGACTGGACATCTGGATGCTAGGAGCATGGCATGGTGGAGCTATAACCAACAACATGGAGAAACTCAAAGAGTGAGGAGTATATGATGTCAAAAAAACAAAATTCAAACAAACTTAGTTTTAAAAAGTAATTGTATTCTGTTTTCAATTTTAGAAAAATACACATTATCCTATACATTAGAATGACTTCTCTCCTGAGCTGAGCAAAGAGTGTGCCTTCATCAGCAGGACAGGGCTAAGAAAAGCAAAAATGAGTGAGAAGGAGACTGGGGACATCCTAGTCACTTAGAACAGGTAGAACTTTCCCGGCCGGCCAGCTCAGGGAAACTAGGCCCAAGCTACCTGACTCCTAGGGTAGGTGATCTCCTGGGGATAGGTGATGGTTAATGTTGATTGCCAACTTGATGGGTTCTAGAACCACCTTGTAGACACACCTTGATCATACCTGCAAGAGGGTATCTGGATTGGGTTTAGTTATGTAAGCGCAGCACCATGCCATGAACCAGGGCTCTGGACTGAGTAAAAAGAAGAAGCAAGCTGAGCAGACATTCACAAGCAGGTCTTAGAGCAAAGAAAAAGAAAGAAAGTGGAGAATTCTTTCTTGGTTCTGCAACTGCCTGGTCCAAAGAATGGTCAGGGGTCTCCAAAAGACATCCCAATGGGAGCAAAGGGGGTGTACGACACAGTTCCCAAGGATGAGTCAAAGAGAAGAAGATCCAAAAGCTTGAATGTTCTGGCATCCCAGGGATTCAGGGAGGATCAGAATAAGTGGGCACAAGCTGTCCAGTACATCGTCACGCAAGAACAGCGGCTGAGGGCGAAAAGCCGGAGAGATACACAGTTGCCTGGTACCAGGACTTAAAGAAAAGCCGGAAGTCAAGGAGAGGACTGTGTCAGAGAAGTGAATCCTATATCTAGGAGAATGGTCAGAGGCAGAGAGACCCACCAGAGCCCCAATTGTTGATAATGAATGGAAGGCAAAGCTGTCGGAGAATGAGGAAGCAGATTTGTTGCAGGTGGAAGAGAACAGATCTGCTGCGGGTAGAGCTGGTAATTCGGGTCCTAGTGTGAAGTGGGTACCTTTGGCGACCCTGCCAAGGTATGCCACACGCAACAGGCTTAGCGCAAGAGGTTTGTTGGGAGGGGGAGAGCCAAAAGAAGCAAGAGAAGAGACCAAGGGAGCGAGTTCTGCCTGGCGAGGGGGCACATCTCGCACAGCTGCTGGTGGAAAGGGACCTGGCAACAGGTCAGGATGTAACTGCTTTGGCAGCAGAGGCGGACTGCTGCCGCTGCTGCTACAGAAACCAACGCTGGGATTCTTCAAGCAGAGTTAGACGTATAAGACCCCAGGTTGTGTTTCTTTCTTTCTTCCTTCCTTCTTTTCTTTCTTTCTTTCTTCCTTCCTTCTTTTCTTTCTTTCTTTCTTTCTTTTTTTTTTTTTTTTTAATTTTACGTGAGAGAGTTCACTTAATGAAAGAGGAAATGCAACTTAACTGGCGTCATAGCTATCAGGAAATGAGTCGGGGAACAGGAAGGAAGAACAAAGGGAGGGAGGGCTTAGAGCGAAGATAAAAAACCTTGAAAATTGGGTATCTCCTTCCAATGATCTGAGGGCTGGCAGAAGTTGCCAAGATCCCGTAAAATATTGGGGTTTCCAGGTTTAAAGTTTTCTAAAAGACATCCCAGAGGAGAGGTTGGGCTTATGCTGCTAGGTGCTGTCCCCATGAGTGAGGTGGAGAAACAAGGTCCAAGGGCCTGAATTTCCTAGCATCCCAGGAAAACAAGGAGGATCAGATTATCAGGCACAAGCTGCCTCCTCACACAAAGACACAAAGGACCGGGGCTAAGGGGCTCTGAGTAGACACAAGTTGTCCCCTATGTCTTCAGGCAGGAACAGGGGCCAGGGAGCTCCGAGCCTGAGGGACACGTGATTTGCCTGGTAACAGGGCTTATCAGGGCTGAGAGGGGAGAAACCACAATCAAGAGTCAATCCTCACTCGTGGGAAGTAGCCAGAGGTGGAGAAGGAAAACTCATCAGTCATGCCAGTGTTGGATGGAGGGCTCAGCAGTTGAGTAGCTGGAAAGAACGTGAGCCAGCTGTAGGTAGACTGGTTCCAGGTACCAGGGAACCTCAGACTGCTGGCAGGAAAGAGGAAGCGCCAGGAGAACCCGCTGAATTGCACAGCACCAAATGCTGTATTTTAAAAGTGGTGTTTTTTTTTTTTTGTTTTTTTTGTTTTTTTTTTTAGTGTTGCATTTTAAAAGCGTTGTATTTTAACAGGTCCAACGTGGGAGGTTTATTGAAGGGAGGGGAGAGAAGGGGGTAGAGACCGGTCCCTGGGGACGCGAGCAAAGGAAGAGAAAGTAAAAGAGATAGGAGGTGGGCAAAGCCCGCCTTTTATATATATATATATAGCGAATGCACCCA